TTCGGGCGCGCTCGGGCGCCGCCGAAGCCGAAGGCGTGCGACTCGGGCGCGTTCGGGCGAACGCCGAAGCCGAAGGCGAGCGGCTCGGGTGCGTTCGGGCGCCGCCGAAGGCGACTCGGGCGCTCTCTACTCGGCCACTTTGAGCAGCCTGGTCGGGTCGGCAGTCGGCACGGCAGTCTCAAGTCCGTCAGTCTCAAGTCCGCAGTCGTCTTGGCCGGTCGGCCGCGCGCCGCTCCTGGCCCCCAAGTCCAACGCGGAGACTTGTCTTCATTAGTCCAGTCGCCTCGGGTTTTCATTCTGAAGGTCAAGGCCGTCCGTGACCGTCGCTGCTCCCTGCTGTCATCGCCTGTGGTTCGTGCACTACAAACCTAACTGCCTTCCAAGTGTACAAATGCATTCTTGCAAGTACACACTAAATTACTACTTTGTACTCTTTTTGTGCAAAAGCTTTGCTCAGAGTTGTGCATGCGTTCTGAAATGCACGAATTTGTGCGTAACTTGCCACGAAGGTGTGCGTTGTTGCGCATGATTTCGTGCGTTTCACGCGCATGCTCCAATGCTATGCACAAAAAAAGGACACGTAGTAATTTAGTGTGTGCACATTCGCTAATGCAAATGTGGCAAGTGCTCAACTACCAGCTGCATGCTTGGCACCGTCGCCTCATGCTACGCAAGTGCGATTGAAGGTGTGCACGGGTGCAGTATGCTCTTGTAAGTGTGTACTTGCAGATATGCATTCGTGTGTTGTCAGTAGGCAGTTAGGTTTGTAGTGCACGCACTGTGAACACACTTAATCTCTTTGTAGTTCGCTGTGCATAAACTTGGCATGAAACTGTTCATTCGTTTCAAATTGCACGAATTGGTTCGCAACTACGCAATCGTGCATTTTGAAACGCATGCACAGTTTCTTGCAGCACAAGGAACTACGTAGTAATTAAGTGCGAAGGTGCTGCATCGGCGTTCCGCACGGCGAAAACAGTGTCCGGGTTTCCCAGGCTCACCTTGGAAACATGATCTCTTTTCCCAGAGTGCGCCTGGGAAACCCCGACACTGTTTTCGCTGCGCGCAGAAGCGTCCACAGTGCGCCTGCCGTGCGGCTTGCGTTTGGCGAAAGTGATAGTGTTTTTGGGTCGCAGCGAGTGCGTGCTTTGTTCTTGTTCCGTTCCTAAGTTCAAAGCAAGCGCTGCCGATGAATTTTTTCCCGTGTTGGTCGTGACTTCCACGGCAACAAAAGTGACCCGGTTTCCCAGGCCCGCCCGAGAAAAACGACCTCTTTTTTCCACGGCGGACCTGGGAAACCCGGACACTGTTTTTGCCGTGTCGGAAAACGGCCTGTGGTAATAGGGTACTTCGGAGAAGAGCTGTAACGGAAGTTGAGACGAAATCAAGAAGAACAAATGCCGAACTTGTGTGAATCTAAAGGTTTGCGGAAGTAGCACAACGGCGACGCAGACGCTCATTCTCGAGAATTTCTCATATTTTGTTCTTCTTGATTTGTTCTCCACTTTCGTTCCAGCTTTTCTCCGAAGTACCCTGTTCTCCGTAGCCCTCTTAGCGATATTCTCCGCTGGAATTTTTAGTGTTCTCCGTAGGACTATGTGCAGTCTTCCAGAAAGCTGTAAGGTCCTACTCAGGATAATGTACGGTCCTCCTGGGAATATCGATTAGAGGGTTACGGGGGATCTTGGCGAAATGCCGAACAGATTTTTCCGTACCGCCGGTTCTGCCTATTGGCGAAGGCATCTTCAAACGGAGTTAGGTTCAGGTGTCATCAAGTGCTGGGCCTAGTCTTCTTCGGTCTGGTGCTTCTCGTATTTCATACAGTTTGATTTCCAGAGGTCTCTTAAAATATTACACGTTGTGTACTTTTTCGTGCGCAAGCTTTGCACAAAGATGAGCATGCTTCTCGATTTGCACGGATTTTATGCGCATCAACGCAAACTTTTCTGCCTAGTTGCGCTAGATTCGTGCATTTCGAAACGCATGCTCAATTTTGTGCGGAGCTTGTGTACGAAACACTACATAGCATCTTGGTGTGCACTTATCTCTTTGAATTTTTGATGTGTATCTATGCATGCACAGATACGAAAGTAAACTGTGCAATCATCTTCCTGCATCAAATGGACACAATGGTGCATAGCATTTTACACTGCTTGCGTTCCTGTCTGAACATGCGTGGTTACACATCAAAGGGTTCCAAAGTGCGAACTTCGCTCAAAGGTGCTTTGTTTGACAGTAGGCGATTTGGAACGAAATCTCGTTGCCATGGTTGGTTAACGAGTCACAGTGCGTTCAAGGCCGTGTCGCGCAAGGGCGCACGCCACCTTCACTCAAGACGCCACAGGACACTTGATTCATTCTTCTTCCTCTGGGTTGGTGAGTTTCTGTCGCGGCGTCCGGTGCGCTTTGCCCCGTTATGCGACACTAGCTTCACGACAGCGCACAAAAGTACTATGTTTTCTCCGAGCAAACACCAACCTAGCCAGGCGCGTGGCTACGGCAATGCTGTGCGAGCACTTTGCACCGGCCTCGTCGCACACCGATGCGATGGTATCTGGGCGTCAGTTATTCCCCATCTGCCCCGTCTTCAATAATAATTGTTTCTGCCTGTTGAGTTTCATCAGCGTTCTTCTTCAACCAAATGCCAGGTGCCGCCACAGTCTTCTTGATAGGTCTTCTTGATCCCACGCGAGCACACTCTTCAGCTTCAGAATGGTGGTTCACAGTGCACACGGTCACGGTGCCGTTGTCTGTCCAGGGAGGGTCGATGCTCATGATACACACCCGCTTCGCTTGACCACTTACCAAATATGTACCTTTAAATCAACATATGCGTACATTGAATATGATATTGAAAATATAGAAGCTCAAACTAAACTTCTTTTCAGCATGTTAAGGGGGCTCATACATGTTAAAAGCACTTTTTTTAAAAAAATAATTTGATGTAGACGGATTAAGATTTTAACAATTTCTGTGTTAAATCCTTTTAGATAATTGAGTAAGCTTCATTTTGGCTTAAGGGAAAGTGACTTTGGACATTTTTGGAGATTTAGTCGAAACGTTTAAAATTTTGCTTCTCGAAGATTTTGTTCGCATACTTGCTCAGATCTGTGGGGAAAAAATCAGGGAGACTCATCCCCAGTAGTGTCTAGAATTGACTACATGGGCTTTATATCTGCAATAGTTTTCAAGAAAAAAATAAAAACAATTTTTTGTTGAAAAATTTGTTTAAAAAATTGTTAAAAAATTGTTTTTATTTTTTTCTTGAAAACTATTGCGATATAAAGCCCATTGTATAATTCTATGACACTACTGGGATGAGTCTCCCTGATTTTTTCCCCACAGATCTGAGCAAGTATGCGAACAAATCTTACGAGAAGCAAAATTTTAAACGTTTCGACTAAATCTCCAAAAAATGTCCAAAGTCACTTTCCCTTAAGCCAAAATGAAGCTTACTCAATTATCTAAAAGGATTTTAACACAGAAATTGTAAAATCTTAATCCGTCTACATCAAAATTTTTTTTTAAAAAAGTGCTTTTAACTTGTACGAGCCCCCTTAACTTAATCCAATACGAAAAAATGAAGACAAAATCAAAAGAATAACGTTTTATAACTACTTCAATTTATAGCATAAAATACCGTGGTATGTAATTAAATTTTACGTAGTTTGGAAACTGCCAGGGAAGATTATCCCCAGCATAAACCATAAAATAGGGCTGAACCTTATCCATCAGCTTTTGAATAGTTTCTTTTACCACTTCCCCGCTTACATAGTACTCCCACCACCATTCGTTGATATGAATGGTGGCAACACTGCAATAATACTTCATAAAAACAACTACATCTTGCAAATTTAACGAAACACTTAGCTCGTCTTCTGAAAGAATAATACCAGCACGGCCATACACGGGTCAATGTGAATAAGGAATGTAAGGATTGTTCATGTATCGAATTGACTGGTTTCCCACTACTCTCTCTCTGGAACTGGCATTGGTGTATTGTTACGCCCTCGAATGTTGAAGCTAGTGTTGGCAGCCAGCGCATGCAATCTTTTGGTATAACCCCGCGTGGCGTGGTTGGCGCACTTCAACTTTTCACAGAGACGCCCCAACGAGGTCTTCTCTTTGATCTTTTTGAGAACGTTGGAGTCGCCGTCTCCAATAATGTAGCGGCCCCACATACCGTGATAATTGAGCAAAGTCCTCAGACCTTCTACAATTATTTGAGACTCCAAGCCAGTGGAAGCGCCCGTATTGTTCTTTTTGCATTCATGGTCCCGCGGCAGTACCTTGATCCTGGTAGCGTTGGAACTTGGGTCTCTACGTACAGCAGTTTTTTTGTGCGTGCGCCAATGATGCAAGCCTGAAAAACGATAAAAGGGGGCCGCCGAGGGGACGGCCCGCCTCGAAATGGCATGTCTCCCTTGAAGGCATCCCGATGTAATTTCCAGAAAGTCAGAGCTCTTGTATAACTCGTGACAGCTAGAACTGGGGCAGGGAGAGGAAACGACAAACCGCTATCAGCCAGTGACAGGAGCATGCCATGCACAACTGAAGCATACGAAGCCAGAGGGCCTGAGCTGTTCCACGACACATCTCCAACCTCTTGTGGCCCAATCTGTGTTATGAGGCTGACACATTTTGGGAGACGCCGTGGGAATGCGATGTCCAGGTTTTGTCAGAATAGCAGTGCGTGTCCTTTGACCAAATTACTTGATGCAGAGAGGTGGATGACGCCAAGTGAAGTCAAGGCGTGTACTTGCTTTATTCACCTTGAGTAGCACGTCTCTTCGTTCCAGTTGAATTGCTTCTCGGCGGGGTTGTGATTAGACTCTTTTCTTCGTTCCAGTTGAGCTGCTTCTCACCGAGATTGTGATTAGCCACTTTTCTTCGTTTCAGTTAAACTGCTTCTCAGCGAGGTTGTGATTTGCCGTCCACGCTTCTAACCTCAATGCCTTGGCGCTGGTGCAAGACCCACTCTCCGCCCCTGTGTAGCATTTTGAGGTCCAGACCGCCTTTTTCCTGGCCACTCGTGTTTCAAATCCAGCTTAAATTCACAGGCCCATTTTTCAAGACAACATAGCCTGCTTCTCTAAATGTAGCAGAATTTTCTGGATTGCGGGGATACGGATCGTGATTTCCTCCCCTGGGCTGCTTTCTGAACTTTTCATTTTTAATACATTTAGGACAATTGTGAAAGTAACACCCATGATAATTATAAATCTTTTCCTCTTCACAGGACACATTTTCTTAACTGCATTGGGTCCTGTACATCTCAAACACTTTCTCGAATGTAGCTCCAATTGCGTATCCCTGCAACATGAGGGCGTCCGCCAGCTGCTGCCCCAGCTGCTCCAGGTCCTCCGCCGACTCGTTGAGCTCCGCGTCGACCTGCGCCATGACCTCCTGGTGGCGCTCAAAGAAAGGGCACGTCCTGCAAACAAACACACACATGTGTTAAGAGTTCCGACATAGCAGGATATAGCACACAACTCATATCGTCATATCGACGCACCTCGTCCCTTCTGAACACCGTGCTGAGGTCATACAGCGGCTGGCTGGCTGCCTCACGGTCCGTCAGGGCGACCCCGGCATTACGGCACAAGATTGCCAGGGCGTCCTTGATGCCGGCCCGCTGATCCCCCAAGAGAGCGATTCTCTCCTCGAAAAGATCAGCCACCGAGTCCGTGTGGAACGGACCCCGAGCACCACGGGACTGGACTGCCCCGTGGAAAGCTAGAGCTCGGTCCGCATCCACGTTTTGGTCACGGTGGAGGGCTGAGGCGTAGTGGTCAGCGACCTTACATGTGAGGATCTTGCCGCAGATCAGACACATGTGGAGGGGGCGGTTGGAACTCCCTTCCACACGGTTCATCACATGGAACTGCAATCAGACCATAGAATTTGTCATATATGTCATCCATAAATCAATATACATCGCAAAGCACAGAGCCACACTCACCCCATAGTCTCGGGCCCTTTTAAGGTCGTTGACCTCGCCACCGCCGCGGCTGGTGGACGCCGCCGTCTTCTTCTGCCCCTTGCAGGGGCGCCTGGGAGCCCTCTCCTCCTCCTCGCCCATGCCCAGAGCCAGGCGGGCGAGGCGCCGTTCAGCTGGAGGAAGGGTTGTCAGTTCCTCCTCCAGCCTCACAAGCAGGACACGGCAGCAGCCGCATGCCGCCTTAGACCTCCTGATTGCTGCAACAACAGAATCCAATACATGGATTAGAATAGGAAAGCCAATTATCATCAATTCTGTTTCACTCACACAGTGGGAGATCCGTGTCTGCCGGCTCTTTCTGCTCCGTTGTTTTCTTCTTCGACCCCGACGGTAGAGGGTCCGGGAGACAAGACATGTCTGCCGAAAGAAAGAACCACATTTATAAGTCATGGCTCCATTTGTAAGCATATGATATATATATATTTATATATTTCCAATCATCGCCCTCACCTGGCTCCGGAGACTCTGGACGGCCACCACAACCCGTCAAGGTCTTTGAACAGCAGGGCACGTCGATGCGGCGTCGTTGCCGGCATCGACGTCGCCAGAGGGGCGGGCCTGCCCCCTTGCCGCTTGCGAGGCGACAACCTCCGTGAGGGTAGAGGGAGGGGGTTAGCCCGCCTGTGTGCCTCCTTCTGCTTCAGCTCCTCCTTCTTCTTTCTCTGGTCTTCTTTGTATTTCTCCTTGGCAAGCTCCTCCTCCGCCCGGAGCCTCTCAGCCAGGGCCGCGTCGTTCCTCTGAGCCTGGAGGAACGCCGCAGAGTGGTCTGCGAACACACACACACACACACACAGTCAAGTGAATGCATAGAACCAAAAGGACAAAAGTTCTATCATCATCATCATCATCAACTCACCCTGGCCTTCAAGGGGGGGCTGGTAAGCGTCAAACTGGTCCACATCAACGAAAAGTTCTTCTCCATCGGGAAGTTGAGGGACAGCAAACAGCGCCTCATCCAACGCCTGCGCCGCCTCAGGGTCCATGATGCTACTGCTGTGTTGCACTAACTCAGAAGTCTGCAACACACAAACAGAAACCACCGACATGGTTAGCATCTTTCGTCATCATAAGCCGTCGGCGACGAGCCTGCAATACACAACAACAACACTTTCTAGAGACACATTTCGTCGGGTTCCCAAGCCGGAACGACAACACCTCCTTGTGTCCCCCCCGGGGCCCTAAGGCCGCCGCCAAGTCCACGTGGTGTGACCAGTGCACAACACAGGCCTGCCCCGCACTCTGCGGCGGCCGTTTTTTTGTCGGGCTTGTTCCATCTGAAGGACCGAAACACGAAGAGTGTTCCGGCGGGACGTGCACCGTGCGGCGCAGCCGACCCGTCCCCATTGCCTTACAGAAGGTCGTGCTCTTTTTTTTATTCAAGGGAAGCGACACAAACCCTTGTGTACACTCAGACCGCTCTTCCAAGATGAAGACCGGTCAGGAACGGAACGACCATGGTGATACTGAGACTCCAGTTGTAATCACTCGAGTACCGACCACGGTCGCACCACCCCCTTCCGATTGTATCAGCCTCACATAGCATTGCATCATTCACATAGCACACCATCTTTTCGTCTCAGACTTGTTCCCACAGTGTTCGGACCCCTGACTGGGGTCCCGGCCTCAACCAGGGCTCGGGGCCACACATCACCTGGCTCGCAGTCCCTTTGGGACCCCTGACTGGGCTCGATGGTCTTGAAGAAGGCGTCCTGGGTACCCCCGGCGACCAGCAGCTGCCGCTCCAGGTCGGAGCGGTACCGCCTCTTCACCTTGCTGATGCCCCCTGGTCCGTGGGCTAAACAGAAAACAGAAAAGAAAGGTTAAAAACCACTTTAAATCTGACAGAGATAAAACACATGAATAACTGGAGTTTGCATGGGTTACATACCTGGATCAAAGGATTGCAATTTGGCGGCAATGCCTTGTTGAGCCAGCGGTCCGTTCCGGTGTAGTCTTCCTTCATGAGGTGGGAGAGGAGGCTTTGTCCAGCAGGAGCAGCACGCCGCCCACGCGCCTCTCCTGGTTTTGGCGGTCGGACACGGCGCGCATGGAGACGGTGTGCATCCAGTCGTCGAAGATCTTCTGGGTCATCCGAGCCTTCCGCGAGGACACCAGGCCGCAGCGGTTTAGCCTCTTGACCTTGCTGCTGACCCCGCTGTCCATAGGCTGAATCAAAGCGGTGACTCGGGCTGGGAACGGCTTAATCAGGAAGCGCCCGGTGCCGGTGTAGTCCTGGTCGACTGCGTGGGAGGAGGCGTTGTCCAGGAGAAGGACGACTGTGCTGGACCGGCCCTCCTCTCGCTGGCAGCGCTTGAACCTGGCAAGTACACTTTAACTGGCCCATGCTTTTAGATAGGACTAAACGAGTGTATTTTAGCGTGTACATGCTAAGTACACACTTATTTAGCGTCTACTTGCCAGGCACACTCTATTTTAACGTGTGCCTAGCAAGTATGCTGTAAATAAGAGTGTACTTGGAAGCATGCTCTAATAAGAGTGCATTATGTACACACTTCAGTTTGCAGAGTAGAGAGGAGAAAAACCAGGTCGAATATTACACATTTAACTACAGTAAGGACAGAAAATAAACAAAAAGCGTTCAAATTATGCCAACACACTAAGGAATGGACTAAACTAAATCTACTGAGAGTTGAAAAAAAAGAAAATATGTTAATTGGCTGAGCGATAGCGAAGCCTGTTACTCAGGTGGGGTTGAAAAATTTTTCCTGTCTGCGTGCGTGCGTGTGTGTGTGTGTCCGCGCTACTCCTCCTGAACGGCTCGGCCGATCTCGGTGAGATTTTGCACACTTTTTGGGTATGTCCTTGGCTCGGCACACGCGAAATTTCACTATCTTAGCTCAACTGGTTCGGTTTTTATAGCCGAAAAACACCTAAAAAACGGCGAAAAATCGAGTTTTCTGCAGGCATATCACTTCTGTCTTGAAGAAAGGAGGGTCTGGGGGGCCGGACAAGTTAAAAAGTCAGGCCAATGGGGGGTCTAGCCCCCCAGCCTCGACAAGTTAAAAAGTCAGGCCAATGGGGGGTCTGGCCCCCCAGCCTCGACAAGTTAAAAAGTCAGGCCAATGCAGCCCTAGGCACGAAATCAAATGCTGTTTTGACCTTCAATCACGCAAATTGGTATGCGGATGCCTGGAAAAGAAACGTAGCCTGCCGAAGGCAGGCAAGCGCCGCAGGCCAAGGTAGGTGTAACGCCAGGCGTGGATTGTCATAACTGGCGCAGCATCGCGAAGCCTGTTACGACAAGACACGGTCTGGCGTACACCTACCTTGTTTAAAATTAAAACAGAAAAACAAGAGATGGTATCAGCAGATATACATTCTCACCAGATATAATCTCACGTAATATAATCCCACCACATATAAATCTCACCAGATATACAGTAATTAATTTTTTTTGTTTAAACGCATATTCGCACGAAATATAAATCCCATCAGATATACACTATTTTTTTTTAAATAAATTTAGGTTAAATGAAGCTGTCCCTGCTCTTTCGACGCAACGCAACTTCTCTGCATACTCGACTCGACAGTAGAATCTACTTTACGCAGTTCCCCTGAAACAAATGAAGCTGAGAATACGCTTGTGGGACTGTTCTCTTGGGTACACGCTAAAGAGAGTGTAAAAGTGAGTTCAATCAAAACAGAGTTGACTTTGCAGAGAAGAGCACTTCAGATGTCCGTTCCATATGTATATATAAACTGCGGTTCTGCAAACATGTTAACCTGCATTCCACCTAATTCGCTCTTATTGTAATACCTGGTGAGAATTTTATTTAGTGGGAATTATATTTAGTGGGAATTATATCTGGTGAGACGGGTAATTTCAAAATATTAACAAGGTAGGTTTACGCCAGACCGCGTCTTGTCGTAACAGGCTTCGCGATGTCTCGCTGCCTGTTCCTCCAATCCGCGCCTGGCGTACCTACCTTGGCCTGCGGCGCTAGTCTGCCTTCGGCAGGCAATGGCTTGTCCATCGTCGGTTACTTCTTACTTGATGCATGCTGGGGGGCTCCGCCCCCCAGACCCCCCTTCTTTCTAGATCCCTTGTGACTTTTTAACTTGTCGGGGCTGGGGGGCTCCCCCCTTTCTAAGGCAGAGGTGATCTGCCTGCAGAAAACTCGATTTTTCGCCGTTTTTTAGGTGTTTTTCGGCTATAAAAACTGAACCAGTTGAGCTAGGATAATGAGATTTCGCGTGTGCTGAGCCAAGGACATGCCCAAAAAGTGTGCAAAATCTCACCGAGATCGGCCGAGCCGTTCAGGAGGAGTAGTGCGGACACACACGCACACACACACGCACACAGACAGGAAAAACTTTTCAACCCCAATGGAGTAACAGGCTTCGCTATCGCTCAGCCAATAACTGTATATCTGGTGGGATTTATATTTCGTGTGAATATGCGTTCATGAAAATAAAACAAATTCCTGTATATCTAGTGAGATTTATATCTGGTGGGAATGTATATCTGGTGAGGTAACCCCAAAAACCATTGAGTCACGAAATGGAGCGGTGGCAGAGTCACATTTTCATCGAGGGCGGAATGTAGGGGTTACCTCACCAGATGTACATTCCCACCAGATATAATCCCGCCAGATATAAATCTCACCAGATATACACCTAGTAATTTTATTTTTATAAACGCACACTCTCATTCCAGGAACGTGACATCACGTTGAAACGAACGTGACAAAGTGTCACGTTCGTTTGAGCATTGTGTCACGTTCGTTTGAATGTGAACGAGCTGATTTTCGGCCAATTCACACCCAAACGAATGTGACACAATGCTCAAACGAACGTGACAGTTTGTCACGTTCGTTTCAACGTGATGTCACGTTCCTAGAATGAGAGTGCATATTCACACGAAATATAAATCCCACCAGATATACAGATATTTATATTTTAAAATTAACCGTCTCACCAGATATAATTCCCACTAAATATAATTCCCACAAAATATAATTCTCACCAGGTATAACAATAAAAACATATCATATGCAATGCAGGTTAACATGTTTGCAGAACTGCATTTTATATATGTATGGAACGGGTATCTGAAGTGCTCTACTCTGCAAAGTCAGCTCTGTCTTGATTGAACGCACTTGTACACTCTCTTAAGCGTGTACCCAAGAGAACAGTCCCACAAGCGTGTTCTCAGCTTCATTCGTTTTAAGGGAACTACGTTAAGTGTTTACTGACCTGAGCACACTCGTTGGAATATACTAATCTGAGCACACTCTCATTGGAGTGTATTTAGCGAAGC